GTGCTTGATAAGGAAAACCTAAAATGACATTGGTTCTATGTTGAAATTTTAAAGATTTTCTTCACAACCAGTACAGTTGGAGATTTAAGGTCTTAAATACACTTTTCTCATTGATGTGGTGAATGATGATTTTCGAAACACCAGCTTTTAATGGATGTATTTCTAAAATATTCAGGTTTAAGTGTAGGATGACTTTCTAGTTTGGATGTTCAATTAGAGGCATTTAAATAATTCCTATCCCTAGAATAAACAATTTGAAAATGTTCTTAGCCTAAGACAATGGACTTCACAGTAAATGTGGTGAAATTAGGACCTTTGAACATTTCTTGCCCTGATTTTCTCTTTATGCTGGCCTTTTAAAATGTTCTTTGTTCCTTAAGTTCTGCTTAAAAATAGAAAATGCAGAAATGGAAACCATCTTAGGTAGATTCCAGTTAGTTTACTGGTTTTTAAAATAAGCTGAAGGCAGGCAGGTAGAGTTCCTAATATGCTCAGAGATCTCCTAATAGTAAAAGGTTGATACTATTCCATAGTGGAGGCAACAGGACATGTATTCCTTTCTGTGGAACAGAAGTAATCTTCTGTACTGCCTTGCTTTGTCCTGGAACTTACACTACATCCATTCAGCCAAAATTGTCCATACTACTTTCTCAACCTTAGGTCTGAATTTAAACGTCTATAAAGGCTGGTAAGCAGAGGTTGGCTTCAGTTTAGCCTATCTCTAAGGGACTATACATGCACACAAATGGCATTAAAGGATTTTCTTTTTTTCTGAAAATTTTGCACTGTTGTTTTCTAATACCATATAATCTCTTAGTGTACTTGGATGGGGTAAATTAATCTTTTGCATGGCTGATGTGTCATTAAAATCAGTTATGGTGGATAGAAGGGTTTTAAATAATGGATATCTATATGGTATTCTGTATATCAGCTCTAATGCTTCTTTACCTGTGTTCTTGTTTTGTACTGTAATTGGTTCCCAGCAAAGGCTTGTATTATGGAACAGTCTATCCTCATTGCATTGTCCCAGTTATTCCATGACCTGCCATCTGGAAATAAATTTGACAGAGGGCTGATTGTCTTTAATTGGAGTTATCTTGAAAAGTTCCTCTGAAGTGATAAACTGATCTGATAAGAAAACTGATGAGTTAATGAATACAGAATTTTATGAGATATATTGCAATTAGAGTGGCTATTACTTTTTTAGGAGAATTGTAAAGATGAGTTTATTGTGCTGAAAATAGCCTTATTGCCACCTAAAAAACTGCACTGCTAAAGAAAGGCTTCATCTGCTAAATGAGTAAGGGAAAGCTTGCACCTTAACTGTGTGTCATTAATTATTCATCTGCTTCAATAAAATGCAGAACATGCTGGAGCTTTCTTAAATTGTTTAACAGCATTGTAGCTTGTTAAAGAGCTCTGCTGAAGACAATGTATTTCAATAATACAAATGTAACTGTTTGTACTTTCATGAATCTTTAAATCATCTGTAAAATTTGGAATGGTCCAAACAGTCTGAATTCAAATCCTTCCAAATTCAGAGAAATTTCAGTTTCAATCTTGATGTGAGAACCACCTCCAAAGAATGCATATTTATATCTGTCCAAAAGTCCTTTAAATACAGTCATCTCTAATATTGTCCTTTTCTTCCATATAAATTTGGGAAAAGTGATTGTAGCCTAAATTGTGCCTACTAGAATACACATTATCTGTTATTAGATAAGGAATAGAAAGATATTTATCCACTGCAGTACATCAATAATTTACAGATCTGCAGATTATACAGTGTTAAGGTCATTAGAGAATACATCAGAACAGTGAAACTCTGCCTAGATTGTGAATAAGGTCTTTAAAAACCTAGATTGTGAATAGTCTTTAAAAACCATATTCTTGTGGCTATGGCTTAGTGTAAGGATGGAGGTGTGTAAGCATCTGATAAAGTTGTGGTTTAGCAAAAGCATAAAGCATTTTCAGGCTTAAATTAGGGAAATAAGACTTCTATCACAAAGAAATAAGAAGAAAATATCTTTTCTCCATATTAGGAATTGGAATGATAGCATCTAATTCAGTGTGGATGTCTAACTCAATGTTGCTGTCCATTCCACAAGAAGAATGTGGAGCAAGGAGAGGGGTTTTGAAGGAGGACCATATAGAAGACCCATGGTTATGAAGGAAGGCTTAAAGCTAAATGTATTAACTCACAGGAAGTTAAAAAAAATATGTTTAGATGTTTAAATGAAGCGAAATTACTGGAAATGGAATTTGGTTACCAAAACTGTAACTAAACATATTAAATCTTGAAACAAAACAAGTTATACTTATTGTGAGGGAGGAAACGTGTTAACAGTGAAGAACATTTGGAGTCTTACATATTAGGGTGTGCTAATTCACTGAAAAGGGTTGAAGTTATGAAGTGGCTTCATCAGGTAAGGGTTCAGACCAATTTCAAGCCTTCTGGCTTTGGAATTTTTCACAGAATCCTTCTTCTGCTTTATTTGAAGTCTTGAAAAAAACGGGGTTCTTCAATTTTACTTCAACATGTTTGTAATGCTTGCAGTTGATTATTAAGCTTCAGGAGGAGCTTAACACCTTGTCTTCAGGGGCTCGGGAGGGAGCTTTTGCCTCCCATGCATGACAGTTCAATGGGTTCTGTTGTTTTGTTGATTTGAATACCTGTTTTTGATGATATAGATATTTATTCTTTGTAATGATCTAGGATGACAAGAGATTTAAGAAGGAATGAGTGTACTAGAAAAGGATTGAGGAATTGTGTACAAATGAAGATTTTGTTACCCTGGCTGTGCGGATATTACATACAGTAATAGAGTACTTCTATGGCAATTCTTAAAATACAGGGTGGTTCTGTGAATGTATGTGTTGGATCTTTGCATTCTGGGCCAGTTACTGATTCTCTGTTAGTCTGCTCAAGAATCCACAAATGAATAGATCTCAGAAATACTTGTCATAGTTGTGACTATAAATTATATATTTAAATGTACTAAAAAAAAAAAAGTTAAGTATCGAATTGGGAATCCATTCAAGGCTGATAGCAGTATTAACAAAAAACTGTGAACTGTCATGTCTTTGATTTAATAAAGCATCTACTTTTCCTACAGGTGATGAATTTTGCTCATGTTTGAAAGTTTCAGTAAAAATCTTACTTGCAGTTTTAGATTTTGCTCTGGTGAGATGAATAGTTTCACCATTACTTGTTAAAACAAATACTAGGAAAAAATAAACCCTCTTGAAGTTCCAGTATAGAAGTGAACAATTTATTTGTGAAGACCAACCCAGGCTTCAGTGTAACTGGCGGGTGGTAGAAAGAGAAGCAAACAATTTAGGGGAAAAGCCACTGTATGTGCTTTAAGCATGTAATTTTGGAAATAGATCCTTTTCCCTTCATTAGTGGGGTTATGTTTCATCTTTGTTCCTGACTGTGTTATGATAATTCTGCTGGAAAGGACAGTAACTGTGGTCAGTGGTTAGTAATGTTCATATAAATGGCTCTAGTTCTTTTTAGAATGGTGACCTTATATGCAGGAGAGAGTTTACGATCACCGGTGGAATGTGAATTGCTTTGGTTCAACCTGATTAAATTGCAGGATGGATGCTGTTACTCAGAATACACAATCTTTATTTGGTTTCCCTTCGTTGTTTTAATTAAACCAATTTAGGCTGTGTTTTCTGAATGAACACTCCTTATACAGGCATGTAATCCACTCTCATTGGGTGTAAATTTAGATCCTCAACTAATTCAGATTAATATTTCTCCAGAGAGGTCTGTTTTGTCTGGAGTTAGTTCAGCTGTGATAATGTCCAATTGAAGCAAAAAGGCATAAATATAATATGAAAGAAAAATATGAAAGAACATGAAAAAAAAACACAATTACTGTCATGTCAAACAAATGTTTGTCTTAAAAAGCCAGGTTTAAGCAGCAGAGTATTTATTAAAAAAGCATAATTTAGTCCCAGGAGTAAGATTGGCATTTAGCCACATGGAAGGCCATACTGCTGATTCAAATCAGAATGGTTTTACCAATTTTGCATATCATTTGTGTGTTGATTCAGGGAGAAAAGCATTGTTCACTTGCTGTTATGCTATTTTGACAGCCATAGAAATAACCTAAAGCAAATATACTTCTTGTAGAGTATTGTCTTTGTATAAGAGTGATTATACAAAGAATTACATTTCTATAATTACACTAGTGTAACAAGAAACACAGTTCTAGAAAAGCTCAAAGAATTGAAATAAGCTTTTAATTGGTTGTAGTAGTTGCTGATGGGAGCCATTATGGATATATTAATCTCCAAAGTACAATTTTTTTATAATACTATCTATAATCCAATTCAGTAATGATTACTAAAACCAGAAAATGAAAAAAAAAAATTGTCAAAATTACCAAATACAGGGTTTCTTCCTTGCCAAAGACAGCTGTTTATAGCCTGACATAATTGTACTTTAGATGTATTTAATCAGAAATAATCCTAGCTATGTGAGAGACATTGTAAAATGTGAAGTAGTCTGTATGCAGTGCAACTGAAATTTAAGTATCTGTTTTTAACATTATAATTTTGGATTAATATTATTTTAATGTTGTTATATATTACTATTAATTAATTAAATAATTATTTAACAAGTTAATAATTAAATTTTAAAAGGGATTATTAAAATTAAGTTTAAATGTAATTATGCCTTGCAGCAATTTGAAACTGCTTGTGGAATATACCTCTTTAAGTTCATTGGTTCTGTATTGAGATTGGTATTGTAGATTTGAGAGAGAGCAAGTTAAAAAATTAAGGAGGGATATTCTTGAATTTTTTCTGGACTGGAAACTGTTTGACTACAATTTCAATGTTAGTCACTGTGGGATGCAAAAGCTAGTTTAGGTGCTGGGTGAGGAACACAACTTTTGCTGTTTATTCTGTTAATCTGCTTTATTTTTATTCTGTTAATCACAGAGATCCCATGTTCTGTTCTGATTTTGCAGTGACTGGTTAAATGGAAGCCATTCCTGGGATCTGGATGGTTTCTACTGACGCAGACTTTGCATAGCAGCTCCATCACCTCAGGAGGTTGCAATGAGTGGAGGAGGGGATCAGCCTGACATCCTCAGTGTGGGAATATTGGTCAAAGAAAGATGGAAGGTGGTGAGTATGTCTTCCTGCAAATCTGTATCTTCCTTGAGATACGTTTTTAGAAATAAGTGGTTTGTGCTTTGAAATTAATTTGAAAATTCTTGTGAGATATATTTTGCTTAATACTTACATTAAATTGTGAATGAGCTTTAAAACTACTTGTTTCTCTTACCCTTCTTTAAAGAGATGTTATGAGGATTTAAAGTGGGTAATTTTTTTCTTTCCTGATAAGGACCTAGGAGAGTTCTTAAATCCCAATGTAGTGCCTGATCCAAGCACAACTGGAAGAGTACTGTTGGTATATTGAACCCTGTCAGCCAGTGATTATGTCAGTCCGTTTTGGAGATCAGTCAGAGGCCCTCCCCTGAAATTAGTAAGTTTGTGAGATATATTGCTTCTTATAGGAAGATCTTTCAGGACCTTGCTGCTTTTCCTTTTGTTTGTTGGATTTTATGGCATAGATATATTCTCAGCTGATTTGAATTCTTTTGATTGTGTGCCAGCATTGGCTTTACCATAAATAGCTCTGTTCCCTTTTGCTGTTCGTATCCTTGATTTGCATCTTGAGGGAAATAGTATCCATTTGAAGCTATTTTTGCTGGGTGAAGCAGGCTGAGTTCTCACAGTTCCTTCTCCATTCCTCTGATTACATTGGGTTTTTTTACATAGAATTAAAAAAAAAGAAGAGAAAAAAAGGCCAGTTCACAGCAGAGCATTTAGAGTGTGTGTGTGTAGTAGGCTGTGAAAAGATTCTGAATTGATTGCTTTATATTACTCCCCTATTCTGAGACTTTTCGAACTGTAAGACTGAACATAGAAGATACAAATTCATCATTAATTTAAATTCATAAGAGAGAATAATTTCACCTGTCTTGTGCCCTATCTTTCATTTAAATATGCAGAAAGCTGATACTAACTTTGCGTAGGAAATTTTTGTATTTCCTTTTAGGTAGATAGAACCTAAATATTTATCTCTGGAGTATAAATATTTGCAAAATATGTTCTTATGTTTTATCTCAATACAGCAGTGCATACAGAAAGCATAGTCTTGAATCAGATCAAATAGTATAAAATACCATTTTATATACAAAAATATACAAAATACAATAGGTAATAAGATACTAATATATCACTGTCCACAAAACTACTTAGTTGTCTGATGTGTGCAACAGTAGCTGTGTTTTCTTCAGGTTTATTTTCTTTCCTATATAATGAAGACTGCTGATGACATAAGTGTCTTCTTGAAAATTTTGAAAATAGGCTGAAGTTCGTTTCATGTAATTATATATTTTCAGTTATGTTTTCCAGATCAAGTATTACAGGTAGATGAGTGCCAAGTATTTCCTGTAGTTAACTCTTCAATTTCTTGCCTTCTGTAGCAAACATTAAAGATTTCTTAATGGCATCTAAGGTGATAGACTTCCTGAATTCAGATTTTTATAGGACTGTCTCCCAGCAGAAGAAACTGAAAGGCAGTTTTTGGATTTTTTTTGCTGTTGAGGACCTTGTTCTTTGCAGTTGTGAAAACCATATCTAAAATTTTTGGACATGAACATTGGAAAAAACCATGTTCAATTAAATTTAATTTTAACCTAGACATTATTTAGGGTGATTCTGTTTTGAAAAGTAAGCATAAAAAAGACATCATAAAATATTTTTACTCCAGTGACAACACCCTTCTCTAGTGGTGTCTGTTAACAGTTGCTTTTATCCTTTGTTGATGCCTTTCCTTATGCCTCTTTTTTCTTTGAGACATTTATTACAATCCCAACTTGGAAAGACTTGACTGTAATGATAATTGGTTTTAGATATATTTAAGAATGCCATTCAATATGTAGTGTAAGCAAAGGTAACAAGATAGAATTTGTTGGAAATTGTATGCTTTAGCCTGGAAGCATACAAAGAGAGAAGTCGGAGAGAATGGAGAGAAAGAGTTTGACTTGTGAGATGCTGAATGCAAAAGGAGAAGGCTGAAACTAATGAACAAAATGGGAAATGCAGATATAAACAAGGGGAATGCAGTCCTCATCAAGGTAAAAGATGTTGAGCAGATGTGGCAGGAGGCCAGTATGGTTGAGTGGTCAGCACCTGTGTTAACTGGAAAGCAAAATGCAAGTGAGAAGGTGAAATAGGGATGGGCTGCCCAAGATTAGCATGGAGATGTTGCCTCTGTGTGATATATGGAATATATGGGAATGCCCAAGCTAAGCTGGCAGTTGTGACTGGTGAAGGATGTGAAAAGCAACAGGAAAAGCTTCTGTAGGGATTTTGGCAGCAAAAAAAACCCAAGGAAAATATGGCCTCATTGTTGAATGTGTGTGACTTGGTGACAAAGGATGCAAAAAGTATTTTTTTCTGCAATTAAAAAGAGAATAATTTGTGCCTGGAACTACTGAGTGATGTAATTATTGGGTGTATGTTAATGATTCTGGTGTACTTAAGCTAAGGATATAAATTGATCTGTTTATTTTATTACTGTGGCGGTGGTTTTGTTTGTTTTAAATGTCTTTTAAGCGCACATGCAGAGAAACAATGCTTTCAAAGGCAGTCTTTCTTGGTCTGGCCATTTCTCAAAGCTGGTAAATGAAGTTAGATGATAAATGTGTCTACATTTATAATGGGGTGAGAATGGCTGTGTCACCTCTTTCCTTTTCCTCTCACCTTTTTCACCATGCGTTTTCACTGGTGTGCTTGTACTGTGCTGAAAATCCATGTGTTGTCTGTTATCTTCTTCCTTATTCATAGACCCCAGGCTATTTAAAAAGATGTTTTTCCTGTTTAGTCCAATGTCTGATGGTCTGGATTAGGAGACATTAGATTACTTTTCAGAATCTGAAGATCGGTCAGCATATTGCTGCTCTCTAGAACCCTGGACTGTTTAGATGAGATTTTATACAGTGGAGTCATATAATGTTAACAACTGTATGTTTTCAGATGACATTTAGAAAACCATGTCAGTCTTAGGGTAAGTTCTTTTTGTCTCCTTTTCTCTTTTATCAGCTTTAGAATCTTAGCCAGAGGAGACATTTTGTAAAACAACATTGACGTTTTTGATATTGAAAACCAAAAAAGTGTTTGTTCCCCATGGCCACTTAAAGCAGAGTGAAAAAACATCTATTCATATTTGCTCTGAATGTAGTGCAGACTAATTAGCATGCCATGAGCATTCTTTTTACCTCTTCCTTGCACAGATGAAACTTTCTGTGCTGCAAGTTTCTTGAGTCTGTCTGTTAATAAGAATGATATTGGTGTATTGTAAGTGAATGTAACATTTGAGATGTATATTCAAAGATCATCTTAGCCATTTCTTATAATTTATGATTTAGCTGCTGTTTGTAAGTCACTCCATATAATAGAAAATACTGTCTCTTTTCAGGAAGTCCAAAAACTTGTATAACTTTATACCTTTATTATTCAGTGTGCGTATTTCTGAGAGGAGAAAAAGGTGGCATATTTTAAAAATGTCACTGTGCATTTGTATTTGAAGATCTCTGTGCTGTGTGTGACTATTTGAGGAAAGACTTTATTCAGCATGCTGACTTTGCCCAGATTCCTGCTGGGAATACTACTGCACTTTTCTATTATGCTATATACAATAGTGCAGAAGGGGATCAGGTGTGTTCTCTTCCAAACTGTGGTTAGCCATACCTTGGTCAATTATTCAGTAGCTCTGTTATGTACTGAAGGGTATAATTGTTGTTTTAAGATCTTATTTGTAATGCAACAGCGTTTGCAGTATGACAGGCAGAATGAAGAAGTATTGCTGTTTTGTTTACTTTCTTCTCCCCTCTTTAAAATATGTTTTTGTTCTTTCTTTTTCCCCAATATAGTTGAGGAAAATAGGTGGTGGAGGATTTGGAGAAATTTACGATGCACTGGACTTGCTTACTCGGGAAAACGTTGCACTGAAGGTCGAATCAGCTCAGCAGCCCAAGCAAGTGCTGAAAATGGAAGTAGCTGTGTTGAAGAAGCTGCAAGGTAGGCTGTACCTTGGATATGTGAGAAATTGAATGTCAGTGTATCTTCTTTAAAAAGATCATTGTAATTATAATAATATTTTGAGTAAATATTTCCTATATTCTGTATGTTCTTGATAAATGCTTATTAAAAGTGGAATAGAAGCGCTTTGAGATTCTTAAAGTTTTGCTACAGTGAAGCTTTTGTTTGAAATGGGATGAAGTGAAAATAAAAAGAACAACAAAATTGCTGCAAAAATCTCGGTTCAGATTTACTTTAGTCTGAATACCTATTTTCTCTTTGTTTTTTGCTCTAGGCTTTGTTCTTGTTTTTGTTTCTAAGATTTTTTTTTTCTGTACTATGTAGCACTGAATATTTGAGAGTCCTTCACATAGCATATGTGATAAGAATATTTGGTTTTTTTGGCTTTGCAGGTATTGCTGAGAATTCTAATACTGAAATAGGAAACATATTTTAAAAAATCCCCACAAGCAAAAGCCCCAACTTTAAAGAACTGTAACTTATATGAGAAAACTACTGGCATGTAAAATCCTGAAACACTTTCAGGGTTCAATTCCTTGAATCAGAGTTTGAATAGTCACACTTTCTGTACCTTTAGATACTTTAAAGAAGCTATCACTACAGAGAAATATGCAGTGGCTTCTCTTCATTGCTTTTTACAACACAAGATTACAGAAAGAAAGTTTAAAATGACTTTTTCTATAAAAAATATTATTTCTAATCTGGAAGATTTTGAATAATACATGCCCTCCTGTCTGCAGCCCAATTTTTCCAAACTCTTACTTTGAATAAAACGAAGTCTACATGACGTATGGTGCTGCCTAATGTGCTGTAAAGGTCACACTGTAGCAGGAATTGACAGCCTCTATAGATTTAAGAGGGCAAGCATGTCACATGTTATGATGTTAACAAACTGTTCTGATGCTTTTGGTCTCTTTCAAGGATTTCACTGAAACATCTAGTATTATATAGCTGAGCAAAGAGATTTTCTTTGAATTTTAAAGTTTCTAGTCAAGAGATGAATAGTAAATTTCAGTATTGCCAATTGAAAGTTTGGAAAACATTTGTCAGGGTTCTTGAAAGAAATTCTCCTAAAGACGGTGAGTTTTGCAGAACAAAATACTCTGTAATTCCTGCGGTTTTTAAGCAGTCAGAATTAATTTTTCCAAGAGTTTGTGTTTTTTTTTCTGCACACATGAGCTTGATTCTATTTTTACAAAACGCAGAGTCTTTAAGATGGTATACACAAGACAACTAAATGATAAGGAAATTAATAGATATGAAAGAAAACACTGGAATTTGGTAGCACTACAATGTCAATGTATTTATGAAAGCATGACCTTATATAGGACTGTATAACTGGAATGCATTTTAACTTTCTACTGTAACTTTCAGAATAGTAGAGTTTCAGTTAAGATATTAGAAAAGGGACTTTTTCTTAGTCAAAACTTTTTTTATCTTTTGAAGTATTTGTGGAAAAAAATTGATGAAATAATAAAATATTTATGTGTGAAAAATTACTATAGGGCCTTACAGAAGTTACACTCTCACAGGAATAGTTAGGAAACTATAATTCCAAACAGCCCAAGTCTTCCTGCAGAACAATCTTTGGTTCTATTGAATCATGGGAAACATCTAGTTAAAAAGAACAGAACAATGAAACATCTGAACAACAGATACACTGAGACAAATAATCCACAAAATATGTACTCCAAATAAATGTTTCTGATATTTATTTTCTAAGTATTATTTCTCTGAGCAAATAATAAATAGAAGTTTTTATATAAATGAAACCCAGACATATATTATTCCTTACATTTTATGTCTTGTTGCTCTCTTGCACCAACAAAAAAAAAAAAAAGAAAAAAGAAAAAAGAAAGTTGGTGGTGATAGTAACACTAGAGATGACCTCTGGTCATTGTTGTGAAAGTTTACACTTAACACTGTTACTGCTCTGGTTTTAGATGGGGAATATTTGTAGGTGATCAGTAAAGCAAACACAGTGAAGAGATGGGTCAAATGAACCTTTTGCATATATTATGATTTATAATTTGCACAGATGCAGTACTTTAGGTTTACATGCACCTTTATTTATCCATACTTGGAAGGTTTTTTATTAAATAAAGTTATGGTAGAGACCATTTTATGTTTTACAGAAAATGTTTGTTCCTAGGTGCCATTTGCATTAATTTCTTTGCCTTCACAAGTTTTCAGTATGGAAGAGCTAAAAATTTGAAGCATAGGGGAAATCAAGAAGAGTGGATGAGAATGGGGAATAGAAAACAACTTTATAACTGCTTCATAAAGATTTTTTATTATTATTCTTAAATTTTTCTTATGATGTAAAAATTAGTCTTATTTTTTGACAATTTTTTTCTTTTCATGCAGATTGAGACCAGGTGAAATAGTAAACAGTTCTTTTTGGGATATTTTTATAACAACCTTCTATTATCATACATTCTCTGAGATCAACTTTTATCTTGTTCCTCTATCCCTTTTTGGTGTATGTATATGTATGTGTATGTATGAGTATATATATATATGTATATATATATATATATATATATATATGTATAATTACTCTTTTTCTCAAAGGGCTTAGGTTCTCTTCTTGCAAGGTGTTCTAGTTACATTTGACATAGAGGGTAAGGAAGAATTGTCATGAACATCCTTTTTCTTTAAAATATTTGAAAAGTTTCCACTGTTTGTAATGAGAGACAGTGACCTTACAGTCTTGGTGAGGATTTTCTTAATGTGTGGATCTGATTTTTAAAAAATATTGCACAGTTTGTGGAATATCATGAAGCAGGCTTTTACAAGAGTATAAATGAACAGGTGTACTATGTCTAGAGCAGAATAGCTCTTCTAGTCTCTACTAGGCCTAGGCATATTCTCGGGGTTATAAACATGCTTTTGAATGTATCTGTATTAGAATCTTATTTCAGAGAAACTGTGAAACTGAAATAAGAATAGCTGTTGGCAGAAGTACAGGGATGCATTATTTCTTACCATTCTTTACTTTCAGAAACTTTTGGAATTAAAGCAATATGGTCATTATTGCGGGGGTAAAATGAGTAATAACTATGTGGTATAATGAAGTTTATAAAAGAAATAACTTTGTATATGGTACAGTGACTAATGAAAAGCTTCAAGAAGCTCTTTTTAAGACTCTGAGCTAGAAAAACCTGCTGGAATCTGTGAGTAATTGTATGACTTCTCTCTTAATTATGAAGGAGGACTAGGCTCACTGATACGGCCATTTATTACAGCTTAGTCATCAATTACATATTAATTTTTTTCTCCCTTCTGCCTCCTAATTATTGTTGCAGGATATTGTTTAACTCTTTAAGTTCCTTATTTTTGCTTTTTTAAAAAAAAAGAAATCTGCTGCAACAGATGGTTGTTTTGTTTAACCGTGTTGTGAGGCCATCTGTTCCCACAGTCAGATGGGAGAAGACAGATTTATCACATCTCACTCAGTGAGAGTGAGACTCACTCAGTTGGTTTCTGTCTCACACAACCTTACAGACTTCTCCCTCACTCATTTACAGCTCTGGAGTGTAATTTAGTGATGGGCTGTGTCTGGTGTAGGCTGCAAAGCTGCTGTAGTGCTACACTGCAGCAGCCTGAGGAATGGCACGCAGGCTTAGCACCCTCCCTAGGAGATTTTTCAAGGGCAGAGTTGTTCCCTGCAGCCTGTTACCATCATCTTCTTGCCCTGCAGCCCAGCAGTGTAGCTCACAGGTATAAAAAACCACTGTTTTCCTGTAAGTAGGTGTGTATAGCCTTACTGGAGTGGTGGGGGATCATTCTATTTGAATAAGGTATTCAGGCTCTACTTCTGTCCTTCCTCTTTCCTCAATTTTATATAAAAGTTTCTAGGAAATTTATCACACAAACTGAGTTGGTGCTCCAGTCAAAATGGGATTTCTCTGACCAAACTGAGTTTTAAACATTTACTGAATTTGTCAGATAAAATCTGACTAAAGATATGTTTTCGCTGAAGATGTTCCTTCAGAATACCCACAAGTGGCTGTAAAATTAATCATAAATATTTGAGATGAGACTTCATTAATGGAAACTGCAGCAATGAATATTCCAAATTTCATCTTGATAAATTCGCTACTAATCCTTTCTGTTCATAAAATTACACTGTCTGTAGTATTGCCTGTCTTACTTGAACAAATGGGTGGAAGGAAAAAGTGGAGGAAAACCAGTGATAAGTTTAATACTTATGTATTTGCAGAAATGTAAAGGTTTCTTTTAAAATAAATTATTTTTATGAATCCTGTAAGATTTTCTCTTTTTAAAAGGGCCTACTTACCTATTTTAATTGGATGTGGCAAGTAGCTTCCTGAGGAAGTAAGAAACCAGCAACCACTTTTCTGACAAGGGAATTGAAAATATTTAGAGGCTGTAGGGTCAGGTTTTAGGGTTTTGATGGAGCTACAAGTGCAGCAGTAGCAAAAAGTCCCCTCAGATCTGAAGCTAGACATTGTGGTGTTTTGAAAACAGTAATGAGGGGGTGGGAGTTCCCTGTTTCTGACATTCTTGTAATCCTAAGTGTAAAGAAATTCATGATAGAAGTATTAGGTGACAAATTTTTCCACATCTTTAGCAACCACTTGAGATCGTCACCTTTCTGTTGGCTGTAGCTTCCATTGGTGTGAGAAAGGATGGTAAATGGCCTGAGGAACTTTAATCCTACAGCTCCCTGTTCTGTCCTAGAGAGAGGCAGAGTGGGAGCATAAGGGGTCCTAGCTTTTCTCCAAGTCAATGCACACTGGTACCAAAATGACAAGAGGTTTGCATTCCTCTTCTGTTTCCAATTCTAGCCTTTGGCTTGCCTTTTTTTCTGTATTTACCTGCGCAATATTCTGCTTTGATTTACAACTGCAAGATAGTAAGGAGATTATTTTTGACCTGTCTTCTCTGCAATTTGCTCCTAGGGCAGGAGGAGGCTTGAAACAAAATCTGCTTAAACAAAACTGATTCATTTTTTTTTCTGTTTCAGTGTTCCTGAGCTGAGTTTATCTTTTGTAGCTAAACAGCAAGGATTGTGTTCTAAAGGAAGATATTAATAAATTGGATTAGTTGAATTACATTTTCTACATTTTTTAATATAAAACATAACTCACAAGTGATACGACTGTTTTCTTTCATCATGGCAGCTGCAGCTTATAGAAAAGGGGAATATTGGCTAGGAGTATTGTCTATTACAAACCATTAGCTTTGTAAGAAAATAACCTTTTCCAGTCCAAAATCCCTCAAATTTGTGGACACTTAGGCATGTTGTCGTGCATGTTTTCTTATGGAAGAGTGAGAGCTGTAGTATAGGAGAAAGCTTCTGTTTAATTGCAGGTAGAACTAACTTTGGTTTTACTGCTGTTGAACTGTATGGGGCTCTGTTTATTATTTCACATATTTTCCAGTAATTTCCTAGGTATTTACAGGAATAAACCACAGAATTTCATTATTATTGGCTAATTTGCTTCTTTTTCTCTTAGGAAAAGATCATGTCTGTAGATTCATAGGATGTGGACGGAATGACAGATTTAATTATGTGGTCATGCAGTTGCAGGTTAGTGTATCAAAGCACGCAATGTTTGCTTGTGTGTTGAGGTTTATTAGCCAAGTGTATATGAAGATACCAGTAAGATTTTAGAGGATGCTAAACAAACAAAAAAACCCCCGAAGATCACAAATTAGTAAGTGAACGTAAATTGAGCATATCCTTATATTTTTCCCTTCATATCCTTTCCATAATTCTCTCAAAAAAGAGAAAGCTTGCATCCTGAGGAAGACCTGACTTGGAAGAGTGAATTGTGATATCTTCTGAGATATTTTACATTCCTTTTAAGTCTTTACTTGAAGATAGTCTAAAATGTATTATTTTAGTCTCTGCATTTTGTTGGCTTTTTTTATAAAAGCGAAAAATTACCCTGTGCAAGTAAAATAAAGCACTTCATTTTACAGAAAGACCTGTTCATTTAAAAAAGGATAAAATAGGTGATTAGCACTTAGAGTTATGGAATGAATGTCCTTTGTCATCCTGGTGAATATGAATTCTGAAAAAAGTGTGTTTTAGTTCATACTGTTGTTTGTCATTTTAGCAGAACAGCAGTTCTGTGATGTCATGGGGTTGCATTTCCTACATAATATATTTTTCATCTGTTTGATGTAATGTGTTATTTAAAATTACATACTTTTCCTTAAAGAAATGAGTGTGAAGAAGTCTTCATGAGCATTTTCTCAGTGGCCTTGTTTTGGGTATGACACAAATGCAATTTAAGTAACAGTGTTTGCACTGGTTTTCTAATAAGGGTTAGTTTGTTCCATGTTTTTAGAACTAGAAAGGTACGAAGGTTCATATTTTCAAAAACAAATTCTAAATTTAGCATTGGAGATACCTGGGGACATAGTCATTACATTTAGGTGAGATGTGTTACCTTTATGTGTGAAAATAGGTATTGAGAGTCTTTAATGGTTAATTATGAACAACTAAAGAAGAAGTAGGAAGACTTTACAGTATCTGTGAATCTTGGTGTATTTTTTAATGAAAATGTCCTTCTAATTTTATCAGGGTCGGAACTTGGCAGACCTGCGTCGTAGCCAATCTCGAGGAACATTCACCATTAGCACCACTCTGCGGCTTGGGAAGCAGATTTTGGAATCTATTGAAAGTATTCATTCTGTGGGATTCCTGCACAGGGACATAAAACCAGTAAGTCTGCCCATTAAATCAAAACAGGCAAATAAGATGTGGTCACTAGATGGGTGCATAAGTAAGAATATGTTCTATACTAGATGCTAAAATACAAAAACGAGAAGGGATGGAAAATTGAATGCTTTATCATCGGATAGGGCAGATTTTTTTCTATTAATTGATGTTGGATTGCAACAACAGTAACTTTTGTCTTTTTCATTGTCTCCAGTTTAGGCCTCCTTGCAATTTTCTGTAGTTAAAACTTCCAACTCTTATCTTTAGCATCATGTAACCAAGAGTATTTGCCATGAGATATGACCTAATGTGCCTGACTAATGACAATTATTATTGTCATATAATGAACCTAAAATAATATGTGCTAACTGTACAGTGTATTTATAAGTCCTTCAATAGTAATTTTTATGTATTTAATATATTTTCAATAAACAAGGAAATGAAAGACACACTGTATGAGAAAACTATTGCTTTATTGTGCAATTCTTTTTAGATCTATTGTTAATATGTCAGTATCAAGAGAGTGCCTTCCTGATGGTATCACACTTTTGTTCTTACTATTTTCTACTTTTCTTTGAATTTATTCCTGAAATTCGATCACCTATTTTTAATGTTGCTCTTTATGACAAATATCACTAGAACTCTGAATTGTCAGAATTTGTAAATGAGGAAAAAATAAGCAAATCTTTGTGTTTTCTAATGGATGCAAATATGGTTGGTTATATCTGACATATAAGGAAACAGCTAAGTTTCCTGTCAGCTGAATGATGCTTACATAAAACTTCCAACATAAAACTTCTGTACATTAGAAAAATTTCATTTACATCACTTCTTCCTAGCAACTTATTATAAAACTTGTATTCTCACTGACCAATCCCCATTTAAGCCTTCATTTAATAGGAAAAGGGCATAGAGGCAGTGAATGTCAAGTGGAATAGGTGAGAAAGAATTAGCTGAAGCTAACTGTGCTTTGTGCTGAACTTAAATCTTGAAATCCCTGGTTGTTTGTTTTCCTTGTGACCAATTAGTCAATGCTGAATTTCTGTGAGTAGGTGACATGATTGGAAAATTAATATATTCTAAGTGATAAAGTAAGATGACAGTGTCTTTTGACAGTATAGGCCACTGTTAAGATACGCTAAGTTGGATGCCTGTTTTTCTTAATGATGTTTTCTTCAAATTTACTGGGAATTCAGTAGAAGTGAAAACATGTAAGGAAGGATAGAGAAATAGAATATGAATTTTCTGTTTGTGTTATTGCATTAATATGTGAACATATTGAAACCTGTGTGTATTAATCTATTATCTGTCTGTATTTTTTTTTTCTTCCTAGTCAAACTTCGCAATGGGACGTTTTCCAAGCACCTGTAGGAAGTGTTTTATGCTGGATTTTGGCTTAGCTCGGCAATTTACCAACTCATGTGGGGATGTCAGACCAGTAAGACTTTTTTCACAGTTGAAATCCGAATTCTTTAATGTGGTAGTATGTTGTCTTTTCTTCTGGAGACATGTGGGAGTTGCATTGAACTGGTGTTGTAAGCTTGACAAACACCATCCCAGATCAAAAATGCCATGTGATATATTAATAGTGTTAAAAGACTGGCAGTAGGGAATCGGTCAGGTTTCTGGTTTTTGGCTTGAGACAGAGGTGTACATCTAAGATATTTTAGGATAATCTGTCATTTGTTTTGGAAAATCAAGTGATATATAGGTCTTCATTAAATATCAGAATGATATACCAGAGCTGAATTTCATTTGCTGTTTTATATTGTATTTAAAAAAACCCAGAACACAAAAACACAACAACAGCAAAAAACTGAGAAAATGTAAAAGTCAGACACTAAACTGAATATATATAATCTGAAAGAGAAAGTCTGAATAATTAAAACAGTGATAGGACACTAATTATATAAGAGGACATTAAATAAGTCTGGTTACTGTATTGCCAGTGCAATGCAATCTGAAGAAGATTGGTCATCAAAGCTTATCAATGAAGAAATCACCATTTTAAGCAAGTAGAGACTCCCTAATTCACTGGTGGCCAGTTAGTTTTGTTAATTTAAAAGTTTCAAAATTAGCCAGTCAGAGCCATTGTACATGGTGATGTTTAAAAGAAACATTTTCTTTATTAAGTTAGTTTAGTTTAGATTTTGATGGCAGCACCAAATAATGTACTAGTCCATATTGTGTAGCATATTTATAAATATGACACAAATTGAGTGGTAGACGCCATCTCGACAGGATTTTCACTCTTATTTTGCCTGAGAAGTTGGGAAAGTGGCAGATTCGTGTGTGCAGATTATGAGGTATGTGAATTAGTAAGGTAAATTAATGGGGTTCTGCTGTGTCTAGCTGAAAGGCTGGACACTGCAATGAAAACAAAGAGCAGGGGAGACCAACAGAGTGCCTGCTACTGTTGAAAAGGTGAGCTAAACATTTTAAGTAGTTTTTTTGGTTTTTGTTAATTTCTCAGTATTGTTGTGTTCTGTATGTTTGGCTGCTTATAATGATTTTTGAACTGACATCTAATTTCAAAGAGAAAACAATTCCCAACATTCTCTCTATATACACACCAAAGGTAACATTTTCAGAAAAACTAAATGATAACAGAAAATCCAGTATTTTTGATATTCTTTCTTTTGTAAAAACTACCTCTCTCATTTTGTTGTTTTTTTTTTGCAGTGCCCTACAATGTAACTGAAGTAATTCTTCAGTTGAAATTGTTTAGAAGTTTTTTTCACTGTAATCAATATTTGGAGAGTGCAGTGATGGTGGGGAAAAAGATAGTGGTTTTGTTTGTATACAAATGGTTATTTAGTTAGAAATGGTTCTTGTATAGTGAGCAGTCAAACTGTTTGCCTTGCTTACTAATAGAATTTATTAATATTTTCATTAAATGTGCTATGTACTTCTCCTTAAGGCTGTCCTAATAAGCTTCATTAGCTTTCTTCTGCAGGATACTGCATGTAATGTAGGACAATATAAAAGCATGTTCTCCAAAAACACAATACTCTCTTCCTAAAAACATAGTTAAGGTTGTCTTGTTGACTGTTAGCTTCTTATAACCCTAGTTCATGTGAACTACTGCTGCAAGATGCACTGATTTTTACTTAACTGAGAGACACAATTCAGACGTGAAACAGTTAGCTCTTGGGAGTCATCAGTTAGATTTTCTTGATTTGTTAACTTGGAGGCCTAGACAGTGATGTGTTGTTTGGGTCATCCATTCTGTCTGACCCAAACTTTGAAAACCAAGAATGGTATGGAGTTAGAGCAGAGGAGTTCAATGAGCTTTTAAAAGTGGACATGAATTGCTGTAAACATAGAAACAGGTTTTGTTTTAGTAAAATCTAGTATCAAATTTCTTCTTTATTCTTCCTGATTTCCCTGGTACTTCTGTCATTACTCTTTTTGCTTTTTAACAGAATCTTTTCACACACTGCAGCTGAAATAGCCTTTTATAGTCACTCTCTAGAACTACACAATTTCCTCATCCAAAAATATCAGAACTCTTTTTCAGAAAAAAGTGAAATAGTACATCTCCAGGATATAGTAGCTGTCTTTTTTCTCTTTCCTCCTCTTCCCTACAAAGGGAATGCAGTACTCTAACCTCATTTTTAAACATCCACTGTGTAGGTAGTAACTTGTAATAAAGTTGGTGAAAAGGGAAAAAATTGGTTATAATACAACTGTTAGAAAAGGACTAATCCTTTTTGGTATTCCATAATCATTATCTGGACTGTAATTTAGAGTTTAGCATTTTTCTTACAGGAAAATATTGTCTCTCTTAATAAAGAGGGGTAAAAATTCATTTCAGATAATTACAGGAAGAAGTATTTTGAGGGACAATTTTACATAATGAAAATGTGTTCAAGCTTTATTGGTCTTTCCCAATGTCTGAGCATACTGTCAAAAGGAATGCCTTTATTGCTTATCTGAAGGATCCAGGGATTTTACATTCTCTTGGGTTATTCAGTTAGCAGAGACAGTTTCCCACTTGTTCCAGACATTGACCTTAAAATTAATCGGTTATAGTTTTCTTCTTGTAGTATCATTTTACTACAGTGGTCTATGTGAATCTTAAAAACTGAAAGAAAAACATGTTAACATAAAACATAAAGCAAAACCAAAGCTTTGCACACTTTCATGGTACAGAAAGTTCTCTCTCAGAATTACTGCTGTAAAATAAAACACTTTTAACTGCTAATTTTGACATGGATTCATTTTACCGATGTTGTCCTATCTTCCAGCTCTCTGAATGACTATGCTTGTGAGGAGCTGACTTCAAGGAGAGAGGGATATGTCTGTAGTATTCGGTAATAAGATATTTGTAAAATGTATAAACATGTTGAAGAGAGTAGTGAAGACCTGCAGTTTATTAAGTTTTGTGATCTGACACCTTTACCTAGCTAAAAGTTAAAAATCAGAAACAAACATTTATTGCATTTCATAGGTTTGTGAAAGATGAATGAAAGGTAATGGCTTTTGATACTAAATTCTACATGGTGGGGACAATGCTAGGATGCAGGTATTTGGGTTACATGTAGAATCAAATTATAGAATGGAAGTTGATAAGGAACTAGTGGGAGGAGCCTTCTCTGGGGATGGAAAAGATCAGAAGAGAGAAAATTGAATGTGGATGTAGGATGTTAAAAGAAGGAAGGGTGAAACACAGGCAAGCAAATAAATTCTTGGAGAGAGGAAGCCAATAAATGAATTAATGGTGTAGATAAGAATTGATTACTGCAAAGCTGGGTAATTAGAATTTAATTGTAGGGATACTCTACTCACCAAGCAAATACATTTAGCAGGATGCAAATTTAGTGTATTTATGAGATTCATAGTCTGCTATTTATTGTTTTTTGAGGATGTAGTATGTTTTTGCTATTGTCTTAGAGATAGCTGAAGTGTTAGCATCTTTTTTTTTTTTAATGGAGACAAAGAATAAATTGTTCTTTTTGAATGTAAACCTAACTTCATGCAGCCATCAATTTCCATGTCTCTGTTTACATGGTAAAAATGGAAAGTGAAGGTGTCAGCTGTGGTACAGAAATAGAAAACCTTGAGGGACAAAATGTGAAGGACATTTGCATTCTTAACATCATCAGTACTGCAGCCAGCTCTTAGGCAGTTGTCATCATTCCTGTTTTAAAGTGAACCTTAACCACAACTGCTTTTTGAGGTACTATTAAATGTAATACAAAGAAAGCAAAATTAAAAAAAAAAAAACCACTAGTCTTTGCTGTTAAAATATTAAACTTTAAAAAATAATTTTTGGTCATAGTTCTTTAAAAATCCATAATTAATCCATCACATATTATCACAGGCATGAGTTTTGTGGTCTTTTATTTATGTGGATTTCAAATTCTAAATAACTGAATTTTATTTGTTTAACAAAGAAGGTAGTATAATGTATATAACTGAGGTGACAAAGCTAGGGAGTAACAGAATTAAAAACCTATCCATAAGAAAATGGCATTTAGATAAAACCTTTTCATCTAAATCTTCAGTGTTTTTTTACTCAGTATACAGGTCTCACTGACTGGCAGCCTAAAGAATTGTTCAGATTAACATCCAGTCCCCTGAATCTGATGATTTGGACTCAGCAAAGATAATTGAAGGAGAAAATTCCTTTTTGCCCAATTTGATACTTCATTTGGAATGTGGGATTCCTTTATTGAGAGTATCGTGACTAGTGGGTTGAAATGCGTTCAGAGGAGAATGTATTCAGAGGAGAATGTTTTGTTTGTGGTAATTGTTGTATTTTTGATAATAAAGGCTTTTTAGGTCAAGGGGAGAGCTATGACTGCATTCCCCCATCTCTCCATCTTTCTCCTGCTCTTCCCAGTGACTAGATTATAGGTCATTCCTCAGTGGTTTAAATAAAATGAAGAGCTTTGTCAGAGTTCTCATTGTCATAAGACATTTTAGCATGACCTTAATTTCAAGTGTTTAAATTTTAGTATATTTATTTAAGAACAAGTAAAAAATATCAAAATTACATTCTTGTAACATTAAGTAGGTTTAAAGTATTCTACAGTATTTACTTACTCTGAAAATTAACAGAAATATTCAAATCCAAAGGCAACAGAGTATCCACAAAATTTTCTGAGGCATTACTCATGCTCTTTACTGGTGAACTGTCAGTAACAAAAATTGTCTTTGACTTCTGCTAAAGCAGAGGATACACCAGCTGCTGTACAATCTGACCCTTAGAAAAATGCTGTGAAAGCAATTGTGAATGCAGATGTCTAGATTTTTTTATTGTCTAGGACAGCAGTTACAAATCTGTTCCCATCAAACAATGCACATATTATTCCATATCAGGTGTTTCTTTACAAATCAGCTAAGTGCTGCTTGTCTTTCTTCAGTGCTCTCAGGTTCTGAGGATTTTCCAGTAAATGAGATTTTATCTTCAAGTTTCACTTTAAGGTACAG